CTAAGGAATTAAATTTTGGTTTACCAAAATTTAGCAGACAGACACTTCTTGAAATACCATGACTCATACTGTGCAATAAGGCTAAAGGATAACATGATGTAACAATATTTCATACGACTCCTTGGTACAGTGACGTTACTGACACATTAAATGTAAAGTCCAAAATGTGCAAGTAAAACAACAAGATTAATCAAAGCAATTACTAATTAAAATACTCAAGGAAGATCATCAAAAATAATTAATCAAAAACATCAATTAAATCACTTAATTAAACCTAGAAATACTCAGAACACATACAAAAATAAAAATAAAAATAAGGCGCTAATCACAAACAAAATATGTCTAAGATCAATCAATAAGATAATTAACGCGCCGCAGATACATAAAATACATTCCTGAGAAAATAAACACACTAATAATTCAAACAATTCCAAATAAAATATGTCACATGAACGTATTCAAATAAGGAGTAAAGACCCCTAAGTACTACGAAATTGAATAACTTCTAAGATTGAATCCCAAACAGTCACGTCTAAGAACAGAAGCGGCCTGATCAGGGCCAAGCATTAGAAAAGAAAAGAACGTTACAACACAAGGAACCTCGGAACCAGCCGAAAATACCCCACACAAAGATCAGAAAGAAGGAAAACGTGATTGTCCAAAAATTCAATCCAACCAAAATCAATTCCGAAAATAGCATAACGAATACGCTGTGCAAATACCAATTAGAATTTTATCCAAGACACACACAAAATAATAATAATACAACCTAATGCATGTACAAAATAACGTTTGGCCAATATTTACAAACACTACCAAGATACACATATATACACATAAATGAAAATACAATTAAACTGTAAAAATTTCGTACATAATTCAAATGAGCAATGAGATCAGCGATACTTAAAAAAAAAAATTTTAAACTGCAATACCTAAACAAATACACAAATAGTCATTATGTTAAACCATATCAAGTCAAAAATATTTCACTGTAATTCAAATCAAGCCAAAAAAAAAATCAACCAGCAAGAGTGAAGTGTCGCTAAAAATTTCAAACCTCACGGTAAACACTAGTGAGTAACAACACCAAACTTAAGTCCCCTTAGTAAGACAACACCAAAAAAAAAAATCCAGTAATTCTAAAAATCCCTTAAGTCCACGAGAAAAAAAATTCAACCTAGTCAAAGAAATCAATCAAAGCTGGACTGAAGCACGTTACTAGAACACTAAATAAAATATCACAAATCAAAAAAAAAAGTGTTCAAAAGAAACCCCCCAATTTAGGCAAAAACTGAGATCTATTCTGCATCAGACTCTTCCAAAACGTTGTATAGTAACCTAAGTAGCAGCCTTCAGCAACACCTCCACCCAAACAAAAGAAACAAAGTAACTCTTTACCGCGTCCATGTAAGCTGAGAAAAGCGCTGTATTATATGAATGACAGACTCAAACTTTACGTATCAAGCAAACCTCCAGACACGTTGAAAGAGAACATAAGATCTCTTATCTCGGAAAGAAAAGTGCGCTGACTGAAACGTTACAATCCTGAACCAACACAATGAAAAAGATACAACAATAGATTTTCTCAGATAACAAGTTCCTGTTTGCCCCCGGTGTAAGAGGTCAAGTGCCACCATGAAGTGCAAGTATTTACAAGAAAACGAGCTTTCAGGACATTACAACTTCACGCAAGACCTAACTGCAAGCAACAAATGCAAAGTTCTCAAAAGTGCTAAACTAAAAAAAAAAAAAAAAATACTCATAACTCGTAACTCAAAAATCCCTAAAAATCACACAAATGAAATCCATAACTCAAATTCTACTATTTTCCTATGACCACAGCAATCTCAATTCTTCCACAGAAACTAAACATCAGAGAACTTACATTTTACGGACCTTGGCAGAAACCACCAAAACAAAACAAAACAAAAACCTGATACAACTATCTTGATACTACCAATTCAAATACAAAACTTAAGCCAAAACAAGAATTAACCCCAAATTCAGCAACAAGTCCAACCAAGAAAGAAAATTCAATAACTCAAATCAAATCTATTACGATTCACTAGCAAATTCAAGACAAACTACTTGTAATCAACAGAAAATTCCCACACATGAGTACAGAGCAAAAGTAACTAATCTTCTCAAACTTATTTCAAAAATTTTCACAAAACAAATTCCCGTTGTCACAAAATTCTCATTAAAATTCACTTTCTACAATTCACAAGACTAACTCATTTCTACTGTTTAAACAATTCTCACATGACAACTCTTCACAAACTTAAAACTCAGAAGATAAACTAATCTCAATTACTCTGACTCATTAAACTAATTAGAACTTCACTCAAGCTGAAGAATTCAATCCAAAAAAAAAATTAAATATGCAAACATCACTATTGCTGATCTCAGGCAAAAATTCAAATCTAACCCATGTTCACTTTAAAACAGAATTTTGCAATTGAAAAACAATCTTCAATTTTTCTAACTCATTCATTTGTATCATTATGCCTTAAGAACTTATAAAATTCATTGCTCAATACTAAATTAAATTTTCTAACACATTACACAATATACTGGAATCATATCAAAACATTGTAAATCAAAAAGCAATAATATACTACGCTAGAGAATCATGAAAACATTACATACATTTCACAAAATATTATTCAATTAATTAAAAAAAAAATCAAAATTTCTCTAACGTTAACCCCTCACAATTACACATTTCACAAGATTCTAGGTTAAATAATTAGCAAAAACACACACAAAAAAAAAAAAAAAATGTCTAGCTACGCATAGCTATGGCTTGTCTCATTCAGTAAAATAATTAGAGTCTTTAATCTCTTTCTCTTAGAAGTGCTCAAAAAATGAGTCCAGTTTTTAAAGACAAGCACTCGAAACTTGTATACAAGGATACACAAATAGCATAGGATTATCGTGAAATAATTCATTTTCCATCTTGTATCAGAAATCAGTACGTCGAAAATCAAAATATACATCCAGAAACAACTCAAGGATTTTCAACAGTAAAAATGTACAGTACCTATTCTGCTACATTAAAATATATATTTTTCCTAATTTTAAAGTTCAATTCTGTTTGCCTAACGTTAAAGTCCAAAATTCCTGAGATTCACACACATTTTCAAACTTTATCACTCTCAAATTAACAAATAAGCAAACACAAATCAAAAACTCTAATTAATCCTAGCACATAAAATTTAACTCCCTCCTTAAAAAGTAAATTACACAAAATAGGTAAATTCAAAATCCAAATTACTGATTCGATCCTTCACTAAGCAGAGGTCACGGCACCAAAGTTATGAAGAAATGTTTCGTGAGAGGATCGAATAAACAAAAAAAAAAAAAAAAAAAAAAAAAAAAAAATACTTATCTTGAGGGGACATCTTGAAGTGGAGGAGAGCTCATATCTTAGCTCTATCCTTACGTCACTTGGCAAATCCGCAAGACAGAGACTCGAATCGGCACGACAATAAATTACATCAGCTATACCGTCAAATCTTACGCCTGCTACTGGTTTTCCATAGAAGAAAATTATTCCCACTGGAAGCAAGAGAACAGCTTACACCGCACGGCTGTCTGCCCAGACTCTCAGCTCCACCAAGGAAAACGTAGACAATTAAGCTAGGCATTTTAGAGAACGGCTAACGCAGGCTTCCAGTTGACTAAGGTGACATAATTCCTTCTGTTTTCAAGTCGGAGTTCAGAGGACATCGTCCTGACTTTTGCCGATACAGATAGAGACCCAAGTCTCTGTTAATTTTTTTGTTATTCGCTCAACAGTTTTTTTTTTCGCATTTTTGAGAAAACCCGCGGCCGGGGAGCATAATTGCCGCTCCCCGCCGGAAGCACTGCTCGATGCCGACTAAATCTTTTCCTTTCTCCTTCGCAACACCCACAAGTTTTTTCTCAGTCTCCGTCAACAAGTCCGTCAAGCCCGAAAGTCAGCGAATCCAAGCAGTGAGTGCCTAAGCGAGTCCAGAGTAAGTGTGTAAGAGAGTCTCGCCTCTTAACCAAAACGCGGCCGGGGAGCATATTTGCCGCTCCCCGCCGGAAAACACCTCTCGGAGTCACTTACATTTTGTCCAGCAAGCCCAAAAATCAGCGAGTCAGTCCGAGAGTCAGCCAAAAGTAAGTGTGTCCAACTCAAATTTCCTTCTTCTCCTTCACCAAACGGGCTCCCACTATGGCTTCACTTATCGCCCCCTTAATTATGGCAAAATCTTCGTTTTCAACTCCAGAATGCGGAAATAAGGGTGATCGCGCATGCGCGCCCTTCTTCACTTAGCCAACAACCGGACCCTCAATCGCCAAAAACCTGAATGACTTACATTGAAAGACAAGTAGCAACCTTTGACCTTTCCGTCACGTACTTTCCTCTCTTAAGGTCAACTAACAATGAAAATTCTTTCTCGAACATTCTAAAGCGCGCGAAATCATCATGACTTGGCGAAAATTGCCTCCCTTTCCCTGCTTCTTTCACAATGAATAAAAGTTTGTACAAGATTTACAAATAGAGGAAAATAAATAATACTCTTTTAAACTAAATAATATTTCCAGAAGCATCTGTTTTTCCCCAAAATTAAAGCCTTAAATTAAATAATTCAGAATCAAAATAAAATTTAAATTTCCATAAATCATAAAATCATTCACCTAGTTTTTACAACGCTATCAGATAATTTCTCTACATAACATTATTCATTTTTAGTTTCTTATTTTTATTTTACCGCCGGGTCGGCGTAGTTTGTGAGCGTCAAGTGCACGCATCTGTAACTTCTAAAGTAGAATAAAAAGGGAGTTAAACCCTTCTTAAGAGTTTTGTGTACTTTCTAGTTCATAGCAGTCACTATTATTGTTGCGTGTAAGTTGGGGCCGCGCAACACCACAAGTTAACGCAGTATCTTTTGCATTCTGATTGTATCCTATTTAGTAATAAAGTAAGCATATTTAGTTAAAAATAATAGATGAGAGTTTATTACCTGGATAATATGAGAACCATGATGAAGTTTGGGTGCGTTGCGATGTATGAAAAGATGAAATTCGGCATCAATTACTTCTTCGTGTCTAGGAATCGTATTGGATAAATTAAAATGATATGGTCCAGCTTCATCTGAATCACCTAAAAATTGTAAATTTGTTTAAGGTTTGCAACCTTTAGGAAATAATCTCATGTAATATAAAAATATATAAAGCAAAATAATAACTTCTCCTACCATTGAGGTGTGTGTGCGTATGCGAAGCATTGTTTACACCCAGGGCCCCTTCTTTTGAGGCGATCTCTACGGGTGCTTGCTGAGCTAACAGATCCTTTATTTTAATTTGGATTTTTTATCTTACACATACATAAAAAATATGTAAATCTCAAAATTATAATTTAAACTAGCATTAGCCCTCAATTCTCTCTCTCTATTCTAAAAATAGCAATAACTTTTCTGGACTGTATCATTTCTAGATTCAGAATCTGAACTCAAAATTTCGAGAATTGATACCTTTCTCTTAATAGGCTGCCATATTGGATTAACCGCACACATTAGCTTCTACCTTTCTTTCTGTTAAGACGCTACTTCACACGCTATCTTCTTATCGCAAAAGTACGAAAATGTAAATGTTCTTGAATAGTCAAGGTTAGAATGCCAGGTGAATTGTGGCCGCAAATGTCAATTGAAATAAAGTTGAATATTTAATCTTACTCGGCTACTAAGTTTCTTCTTCTATATGGATCTATTTATTATTTATATTTATTAGTTATATTAATTTGTTGAATTATGTACAGTGGTGGCCAAAATTGTGGACACTTTTGGAAATTTTTATGTTTTTGAACTTTGCATGCTTATAGAAGACGTTACGTTTCACAAAAATGCAAACTTGTATATATCATTTTAAAGAGAATTTATTACTGAATTCAATACAAAACACAAAATTCAATTACTTGCAATACAAAAAAAGTTAAACGATAATAGTTACCGATATACATTAGATAGTGATGATTGCAGTGAGTTATCAGTACTTAGTAAGGTACCCTTTATTTTTGATTACAGCTTCACATCGACGTTTCATTGAGCTGACAAGAGTTTTAAGCTCTTCTTTCGTTATTACATGATGCCAGGAAACACTTATAGCCTCAATTAGTTCTTTTTTATTAGATGGGCGTCTCATTTGGACACGAGTTTTCAAACAGTGCTACAAATTTTCGATAGGATTGAGGTCAGGACTGTTTCCTGGCCATGACAACACTTTAATGCTCTTTGTACGAAACCACTCTTTCGATATTTTGGCCGTGTGGCAAGAAGCAGAATCCTGCTGAAAAATAAACGAAGCATTGTTGGGAAAGAGATCTCTGATGGAAGGTAGAAGTTTTGGTTCAAGAATAGTGTAAATGTATTTTCTGGAATTCAGTGTCCCATCGATGACATGAAGGCGACCAATACCATCTGCTGACATGCATGACCAATCATAATATTAATTGGGTTCTTCACAGTTGCTTGAATGTAGTCAGGATGTAGCTCTTCTCCTATTCTACGTCTTACATATTTTCGCCCATCACTACCGAATAACGATATCTAAGTTTCATCACTCCATATAACTTGTGACCACTGATCATTTGTCCAATTAATGTGTTCCTTTGCCCACTGTAGTCTTCTTTTTTTTTTTTTTTTTTCGTTGCTGAAAATTAAGATAAGGCTTTTTTTCGTGGGATTCTACCTCTCAGTCCAACATCTGTTAAACTTCTCCTGATTGTTCTTGAACTGACAGAAACACCAGCATCATTCAGATTACTTCTGATGGCAGCTGATGACATTTTTCTATCTTGGAGACATAGTCTTTTTATTCTTCTGTAATCAATAGATGTGGTGCACCTTTTTCGGCCTTTTCCTTCTTTGTTTTTTATTGAATTTGTCTCCTGATATCGTAAACAAAACTTTCGGACTCCAGATGTAGTCACTGAACCCCCCACTTGTCTTGCAATTTCAGCATAGGAAAGACCACTTTCTCGTAACACAATAATATTACATCTCTTTCTAGGTGTCCAATCTACTCTTTTAATTGATTTCATTGCTTCTTGACTAAATATTAAAAATTTTTACAAAAATTCCCACTTTTAATTGCAGTGTATAAGAAACAGGTCCTTCTTCTACAGAACAAAGCAAAATAATGAACTGTTTCAAGTGTAAACATGATGTCAGCTTCTACTGGCAGTTACTAACATTTGATTGGTTCTCAGAACAAGAACAGTGATTGGCCAGGAAAGCTAGACATTACAATCCACTTCATAACTGTGTTTTTTATTTGTATTAAAGTACATATAACATTTTTGTATTGCAAAATAATTGAATTTTGTGTTTTGTATTGAATTCAGTAATAAATTCTCTTTAAAATGATATATACAAGTTGCATTTTGCGAAACGTAACATTTTCTATAAGCATACAAAGTTCAAAAACATAAAAATTTCCAAACGTGTCCACAATTTTGGCCATCACTGTATGTATATATATATATGATTATTATTATTTAATGATTCTGAAAATTATAAATGGAGGCAATAGAATTCTTTATTACATTTTTTCAGGTATTAATTGTTATTCCCATCTTTAATTTACCGGTTGCTAATTTTTAACTGTTTACAATTGCAACAATAAATGTTTTTGATACCGATACAGTTTGAGATAATTATTATTTATTCCATACTTTGATGCTTTTATATTTTTACTTTATTTTACGTTTGTTGTCAATTGGGAAGTGCTAAAACTTATTTTATAATTGCAATAATTTATGAACTTAATTGCTTGAAGCATTTGCTCAAACTAGATTTAGAATAAAACATTTCTTATTTTAAATGAAATGAAATTTAAATTTTTCCCTCACAGGGCGTCCACAAACTCTCTGAACAACTTTACCGTATTTTTCTGAGCATCCTGTAAGAGATAGTGCTGTAATTTTTTTTTTATTTTTTTTAATTCAACGTATGTCAAGAAAGTTTTCCAATAGTTTCTTTTGGTTTAATATACACACAATGTCAGAATTTGGGGATCAAAATTCGTCATGTCACAAGGGACTTCCGAAAGTGAATGCTTGATGTGGGATGCTGCATGACAATATTTTAGGACCGTTTTTCTACAAACAATAAGTCTGAGTTTATATTGATAGATTGATTAATTGCATTTGCCCATAGTTGGAGGACCATGAACCAAACTTCATTTTTCAGCTAGATGGCGTACCACCATACTGAACATATGTGTGTTCGCAATTTTTTTTTTCGACAGAACATTCCTTAAACAGATGCACTAGGAGGACAAGCACATTCTATGGCCACCGCGTTCGCCTGGTGTAACTCCTATAGAATTATTTCTGTGCCACTATGTTAAAGACGTTGTTTACCGTTCGAAACTGTCAAGCACTACACACCTGAAGACCGGAATCAACAATACAATTGCAACCATGTATCACGCCATGTTGCATCGTGTATGCCCGTATGTATTGCCATATTGCACCGGAATACACCGTAAATGCTGTACACAGCTGAAATATCGTCTTCACTTTAGGGGTCAACCAACGGTGTGCATGTCGAGGTTGTGTAAGTTGCGTCACCTGCCAAAATTTCCAAAAATCCCAAATCCAGTCATCCCCAAAATCAGCTAAAAATTTTTAACCTTGCTTGTGAAAACGTGACTAGCACCAAAGGAGTAAACTGTTTAGTTCCCAAACAAGAAGCTGTTAAAATTGACCAGAGACTATGTGAACACTCTGTATATTGGTAGAAGGCTAGTTAAAATTTATATTTCTAATATTCTTAGTAAAGGGTGTCACGTAATCAAAACTAGTCTGAAAGCCCGTCTTAGTTCATTCATTTTTTTAAATGAAACCATGGTTCTGCGACCATTGTCGTTTAATAGACGTTCCTTGGGCAATCTTTTAGAAATATGGATGTATATATGTGTGAGTGTATAAATGTATATATCGATTGCATAGTGCAGTCTTCTAGAAATATATGTATACAATAACAGAGAAAGAGTTAAATATTGTATAATAAACATCTCTAAAACGAAAATGATCCTAGAAAAATGGCTCTTTTAAGAAAGAATTAAAATGTGGCAGGTTTTTTAGGCTAGAAAAATTTTATTACATGATACTTTTTGTTAAAAAAAATATGAATCTTAAATTTTAAACAGACCTTTTATCAAGATATCTCCAATTAGTTTCTTTATTATAATAACAACCTTAAAATATTGTCCATATACAAATTTGGTTTTGGGGAGGAGGGGGAAAGTAATGACATTTATGTGACTGAATATACAGCAAACCTTTGTCGAACGCAGACTTGAGGGACGCTATTTTGTGTATACGTATTATCTTATTTCTCTGCATTTAATTTGAACAACGCCAGAATTTCAGTTATGCGCTCAGTATCAGCTGAGCTGCGATAGTCCTCTTTAATGATTGATTTGAAAATTTATTCCTTAAAGAAGTCATATTGCTAAGAACCGCAAAACCTGAGCTTTAAGGTTCTCCTGCTTCTCGATAATGCTCCCATACTCAGTACTGAAGCTCTCACAACATTGCATCCACATATAGAGGCTTTATTCCTTCCACCGAACACTACATCCTTAATCCAAACAATGGATTATGGAATCATAAAAACATTCAAAGCCTGTTATGTGAGGCATGTTTAAATCGCTGCAAATAAAGCACTAGATCAGTATTTTTTAAATTATGGGTCGTCCCCTCTCCCCATTTTGGGGTCCTGAAAATTTATAGTGAGATTGCAAGGTGGATAAAAGTCCTAAAATATCTGAATTGATGATATAGGTCGAAGCTCTGATTGGGGTAGTTTGCATTTTTACATGTTTGCACTCCCATACAGTTTGAAGACTACTGCACTAAACGAAGGGAAGCACGACACACTAATAGAATTTTTGAAGCAATTCAATATAAGACACTGCATAGAAATGATTAATCGCATAAGAACAAATGAATAGATCAACAATGAATTTCTTGGCATTAGCCCTGGCAGAAGTCGGCAGTAATGTTAAAGGATTTCCATTGATTGGAAATGAAGCCAAAAAAAAAAAAAAAAAATCGTACAAATTTCCAAAACAATAGGATTTTCAGATATGGAAGGAGGAGGAATCGAAAAATTAGTGATGATCGTGAAATGACAAATGGGGAACTTGATGAACGTATTACTCCAGCCGGCGATGAAAGCAGTGATAGTAAAGAAGATAAAGGGCCTTTATCGAGCAAGAAGTCAAACGAATTGTTAAAAAAGGCACAGTTAACTGTGTGATTTTGTAATGCAGTTTGACACAACTGAAGACATGAGAAGACGCTTTAACAGAGTTATTGATATACTTAGTACTGCTTACCGCATTTATTAGATGGGCCAAGCGTTCAATTGCGTCAGGCAGAGCCAGATAAAAAAATACCAGCTGTTTTAAAAGATAATTGTAATCACGTACCTACTTACTAAGTGTGTCCACCTAAAATATCGCTGCAAAACATGGAACATAAAAATGTGGAGGGAAAACTATTGCAAGGAAAAAACATCTTTGTGCAAAACATCGTGAGAGAAAAGAAACTCAGGTGAAACCATCGCCGTTCTGAAACATCGTCGTCGAAAATAAAGCGGTTAAAAACATCGCAGTTTTGAAATACCGTCGTAAAAGATACCGTGCAGAAAATAAAACATCTACAAATTATCGCATTATGATAACGTCGCAGGCATGTGTGTTTCAGGATTTAAAAGTTGTATATGTAGATTCGCATAATGATTTGTGATTGCAAGAAGGAATGAGGAATCTTTCTACTTTCGCATTTCATATTTTTGGGTTAATTACTAATTTTTGCTGTCACTTATCTCACTTGTCTGACAATAACATACAAACAAGTCCACGAAATTCATCGTGACAAGGAATGCAAGATTGCGCCTGTCGTTGGCAACAGCCTTTAGCACAATACAGGTGACAGTACAACTTTACTCAGCTCTGATTTTAATCTCCTCTCGCTACAAACAACCTCTCGAGAGGACTTTCGGCTCGCCGCATATTTAGAATGCCCTCACGCCGCAGAGGCACTATACATTTACAAACGTCCATGCCTTCTCCGGGATTCGAACACAGGTTCTTCGGTACGGCAGTCAACATAGGTAACCACTATCCCGGTTTTGCTAAAAGGCATAAAAGGAAACTTATGCATTTAAAAACTGAAAATGAGTAGAAAATTAATCTCATGTGTAGCACTTAAGAGAATTTTAAATTTATGTACTTAACTATTAAAATTCCTTATTTAATTAATCTCTTTTATAAAGATGTATTGGCAGTTCTTTATGAAAAATAGTCTAAAAATATTCGAAAAGGAAAGATGCATGCATGAGTTTTGTATATTAAAATTATTTAGCTAGTTAAAACAAAACATATAAAAGAATATCAAATTAATGAAATGAGAGAAAATAATTACACAATTTTAGGTAACCTCACGCAGTTACTCAACTTTCCTTACCTATTTTTTTAGACTATATTATTTATGAAGAACTGCCAATATAAGTTCATAAAGATAATTAATTAAATAATAACTTTTAATAGTTAGGTACAAAATTTTTTAATTTTGTTAATTGCCATATGTAGGATTAATTTTCTACTCATTTTCAGTTTTTAAATGCTTAAATTTCCTTCTTAATTTCGGGGCAAAAATTTGTTAATTTATCCAAAAGTATGAAATACACGGGTTAATATAATAATGTTCATAAGAACAATTAATGAGAAGTGCGTTTCGTCATCTCGCATATCTGATAAAAACTCTTTTCAATTTTCCATTTCTATTCAATTTTAGAATATCCGAATTATATCTTACCAATTCAGATGTGAGAAATAGTTCTCCGACACGCGGATAGACTATTAATCACAAATTTAAAAATAAACATAGCAATCATGAAGAATAATACTTAAAATTGAATATAAGAAAAATTGAAATTAAAACAGGATGCAAATGAAAAGAAAGAATTAATTTGTTAAAAAAAAAAAAAAAAAAAAAAAAAAAAAAAAACTTATTTGTCATGAAAACATACATGTTTGTGCGTAGACGACACCGGTACTTTTAAGTTCGACGCTTCCTGGCCGAGGGTGATATTTTGATTCGATGTAGCTTGAAGTCTGCGTAGTTAAGACAGATCGATGCATAAACCAAAACTTCCAAACGAGGCAGTTTCAAAATACAACTTTATTCCATGATAATTTGCATCAGATTAATTTTGGTAGGCAAGGCATTTATCCAATCATAGTTTAAAAATAATTTTAATTTACACTAAAATAATTTTTATTCACACTGGTTATAAAAGTACGACGTAGGCATGTTAAACAGGGAAGCAAAGCAGCGTGAAGATGTTGTTGGCATGGTAGAAGCTAGGAAAAGGAATTACGTAGTTGCTTACGAGTAGTATTTATACTAACTAAGTGCATAAGTACAGGTAATCTGTGATTGGTTAATTTTTGGTTTTAGTTCCATTTTTTCAAGCAGCGTTATGTAACATGGAAAGATCTCGAATTTACAAATGAATTTAGGGGGGGGGGAGAACACCAAATTTAGAATAGTTAATTTTGAGGTTCCAATCATTTCTTAGCGCAGCCATCGTATTTTGTTATATCTTACACACACATATGTATATATATAGAGAGAGATAGTAGATATAGGTATAGGCCCGGTGGCGCAGTGGCTGGCGCAATGCGCAGCAGCGCCACAGGTCCGGGTTCGATCCCCGGGCTGGGCAAGGTCGACTCAGCCTTTCAGCCCTTGATTTTCATCCCTTGGGCCGATAAAATGAGTACCAAGGTCGCTTGGGGACTAAACACTGGGGATCCTGCGACAATCTGACCACTTATTCAGGGCATATGCTTACGCATCCCGGGGCCCACGGTCAAGAAAGTAGATTTCGGGGCACTGCAGACATTGGCCCGCTAGGGCTGTTACGCCACTGAGTTTTAGTTTATTTAAAGATATATATACACATTTTTAATGATTTTGAACGATGTTTTCTTCTTAAAGGGGGGATATGTAAGAAAAATAAAGAATATGTAAAAGATTAAATTAGCAGCGTAAATTAATTTCCCTTCTCTATTCTAAAAATAGCAACATCTATTTGCATTGCGTCATTTCGAGAAAAATCTATGTCATATGCTTCTTACGTAATAGGCTGGAATGTTCTCGAAAGTACTGGTCTAGGGGAAAGATCCTGAAATTGCAGAAAGTTAATTAAAGGTTGCTTGTTCGCATAGAGCAAAGCCGTCCTATTTTTTATATTTTACATCTATCTATATATATATAACAAAAACTTTAGAATTGTACCTCTAAATTTTATGAAAAAAATACCGTAAAAATTACTCTTTTTAAGGGTTTCCAAATTAAAATACTAGTCTAACGCAATGTTTAATACTATTTAATCGACATAATAACATTTTATTACATACACACTTTTATAGATTAGAGAAATTTTCAATTGTGTAACTTATTATAATACATTTTAATATATATTTACTATATTTTAATACTATATTAAATAGCGTATTATATATAATACATTATTTTAATATAATATTATAGTATTAAATAATTATATTATATTTTAGGTTTTTATATATGTATTTTAGGTTTACTTCTATCTATACTAGTATATTATACTAAATTTGAGGTTTAGTTAATATGTTTAGTATATTATACAATATTTTATTTATGCTTAGTTAGTTTCATAGATATAAAAAGTAAACAGATGTATTAATTTTAAATATAGAAATTTAATCATTTATTAATAATAATTTACTTTAATTACTACTTGAGTGAGATTAAATTCTTGCCATTAAAATGGTATCTCAGAAATTTTAAGTGCCGTATATTCCGGCGGATCATGCGCACCTATAATTTCAAACTACATTTTTTAATTTTTAGGTATATTCGCATAATAACGCGCACCCTTTTCTTTACGAAGAAACCTGAAAGATACATGTGTGATGCTTTTGAAGTCATTCATTCGAAAATTTTCCCAAGGATTTCAGACGGATTCAGGTATATCGTATTGACAAAGCGATAAGGGGAAATGATTGAGGGATAAATAATTCTGCAAATAGGGTGCGTTGTATTCAATGCAGATGGGTGCAAGAATGTTATTCTAGTGTTTCGAGAAAAGGGGGACATTATTTGACGTAATAATGTAATTTCGCTCTGAATGAATTCGCGGAATTAGCGGTTAGATGTTTTCTCTGTCTGTAGGCGTTCGAAGCCGTGCTTTTGAAGTGAACATCGAACACAAGGAGGGAAAGGGGTCCCAGTGCTTCATGGCAGTCTAGGAATAGTGTGTGAGTGGATAATAAAAGCACGTATTGAAATTAAACGCGGTATAATTCAAAAGGGATTAAAATATAGTATATATAACAATCTAGATGGAACGGAAGATGATTATTTATGGATCTGAATGACAGTGATGGTGAAGATGAAATAGAATTCGATGATGTACCGGAAGATATAACGGAAGACGATTATAAAGAACTTCTCTTGTTATCAGACAAGGAATTTTTGAAGTTGATGAGAAATGTAATTTCTTTTAACAAACAGCGTCTAGGTTACATGTAGAAATATAATCTTTGTATGCTCACCTTTTCCTTATTTTTAAATCTATCGTTTTTATATCCGATATATAACCCACACCCGTAAATTTCGATCTTATACACGTACAAATAAATTCCATTACTGAAAAATTCTAACTATAATAGTATACGGTAAGTAAATAGTTAAGCAAGTAGTATTTTATGTCTGAGACTTTAAAACTGAAACTTAATCAAACTTAAAATGATAAGGTAATAAAACAAAATTAAATTACCTTTATCGAAGAAACTTCTGACGGTATTAGCTCCGTGTTGGAAACTTTGAGGCATCTGTGAGTCATCAGTGAGGGATCTGTACAAATCTAGCATGTACTTCGGCGGCCGAGGTTGATGTTTTGTTTCTGGCAAACGTCCGTCTAGACCGAAAACACGAAGCAACCTTTGAAGAGCATCTTGACTGTGATTGCCATGGCCGTTAGAACTGGAGAGTCCAAATTCATGTGGATGTCCAGAGGAATTAGAAGTAGTCCGAACCACCATTACCCACAAAATAAGAGAAATACGGAAACTGATATATTCCATATCTATATTATTGAATTGTTCGCTATTCCACAGACAGGAAAGAACACATGCTATAATTTAAAGTCTGTACAAAGTTTATTAAATTGAAATTCTACGGTCTATAGCTTCCATTTAAAAAAAGATTTCGTTAAAAATTACTGATACGTATCGAAATACGTCAATCACCTCTCTTAAACATTTTACGAAAATTCTAGAAGTCAGGTACAAAAGTTATAGACTTACCAAAAATTACTAGTATTACTAGTATTAGAATTTAGTACACATTTAAGAAATATTGCTTATAAATTGCGGAATTAACTAGAATTTAAGGTAAAAGCATGTAAAGTTCGAAACACTATATGCAGAAACATACAATTTCTGGTCCTAATTTTTTTTGCGCTTAATTTCTCATTATTTTAAGTAGCCTGAAAGCAGAGTAATTAGTTTGGTAAATCATATTCTGACTAGTCTTCGCTATACCTTCGTAGGCATTAGTTTTACTAGTATAAACGTTTAACTACTGTCCCTAACTATAATCACTTGCAGCGCTTTCCTATCACTTGCGCCCCAGTAGTAGTAGCTTTATAACGGTAATGGCCCGCAGAAGTCTTCAGCAATTTGACTTATCGATAGACATTTGCTTGCATCTGGAAAAAGTGGCTTTTGTTGTACCAAATGCAGGAACCGTCCTTAGCGTCTATGCATATCTTCTGATGTCGTGGTTGAGGTATTTCTTTCTTCAGTGCGTTGAAAATCAATCCAAGAATCTGGGATTCGGTCCATATAAAAGCAGTTCAACAAAGAAGAATAAATCTGGAGAGGGGTGGAAAAAAAAAAAAGGCAAGTAATTCTTACGTGAAAAGTGGCCGTTTTTATTGGCGGTGGATAGCGACCCACGGTCGCCAATCCGCAGAGAAAAATATTTGTAAAAAAAAAAAAGTAATAAGAAAAATAAAGAGAATGAGAGAGAGACATAACGACGTGCAAAAGGATGAGGCGCCTCTGGAAGTAGTTGAGGAAGTCTCCAAGTTGACAAGTCAGGAAATTTATTAGAGCACTGTTGCTGCTTACCTCCTTCTTCTTGGAGAACACCAGAAACGTCTTGGAATGCTACTCGTCAGAAAAATTGTCGAAAATATACCACTTTGAAATACGTTTTTCCCCGAATTTTATTTGTTTCTTCCATAAGAGTGATACAGTGTACTTTACTGAAGTAATCCAACAGTGTTATTAATTTTGTAATTTTGTACCATTAACTTCTATTTTCACATACTCGAAATACAGATGAAACTAGTTAGTTTGAAAAAACATTAATTTCTTTCAAAAATTTTTGCACAAGTTTTTTGGAACTTATTAACAACTTAACCAGGTGTTTAAAATAAATCCTTCAGTGAAGAAAGAGATCTAAATATTAAATGATTTGCTAGGTTTTGCTGTGAAACATGCAGCTAATTCTGACATGATTTTTCAAAACATTAGAAATTTTTACTTATCTAGGGATTTTGTTTAAGAGAAAAAAATGTGTTCGAATAAAAAAAATGTACTACTTTTTTAATGACATGTTCAATCTATAAGCTTTTTGCATAATTTAATTTCTAAAAACCGATGAGCCAAGCGATTAATAAAATTATCTATTTTTTCACTATATTTTGAATTTGTTGAGTCATACAGAGACACAATTAAATCTTAGACTGGAATTCTTAAAATGCGTGAGTGTGCCTTTGGAACAGCCAGTTTTTTGAAAAATTCAGATGAGAAATTAACATCATTTTGGAAGAAGTAAAGAAGTATTTCCCAAAACCTGGAAAAGAGATACCGTAGCAACGGGAGATTAAAAAAGCAACACAACCAAAAATAACTTTTTATTAGATAAATATTATTGAAAAAGAATTAAGCGGCTATTTTCACAAATAAAATGAAGATTTAACATTTTGCTTTGCCCCCCCCCCCAACCACCAAAATAAGCAGGAACTTGACGAGTAGGATGGAGAGAAAAGAAAAGAGGGAATAGATATTGAATACTTGAATATATTATTGCTTTTGTTGAAACTGTTCGTTTAAAATTATCATCCAATTTCTTTAAAACAGGAAATATATCAAGATATATGAATTTTCATATAAAAACACATATGCAGGAACAAATAATGTAAATGTTTTCAACATTTACTACTGAACATTGATCAGCAAGTTTTAATATGTAGAGAGAGATATTAGGTTATTTGGAAGCAGGAGAGATGGAAAATGAGCAATGCCCTCGCCGGGACTCGAACCACGGACCTCTCGAATACGCGTCGAGCGTGCTGGCTACTATACCACGAAGGCATGCTAAGAAGGAGGGAAAAATACCTTATAAATAAATAAGTGCAATTGCATTAAGTATTAAATACCATTCGCAGTACGTTCTGTTAGGAAAAAGACATTTCGCCTTAAGTCTGTCATTAACTGACAAATAACTAACACGCCGAGTATTTAGCAAAAAACATAAACTAGAAATCTCCATAACCGCACATGTAAAAGGATGAAACATTCAGAGCCAAGTATCTCACGAAGGATAGTATAGCAATCAAATCGAAAGGCACAGAACGCAAGAAACACAGAGAATTTCGTTATAACATGATAACAAATGATGGTTAAAAAAATTCTCCGTATGACAGAATCAGCACAATACAAGCCGCTAGATAAAATATCTGATGTGGACACCACATGACCTCCTTGTATGGTCTATTAAATTATACACACTTTTTACTACACTTCATTTAAACATATTTTCGCGAATTTCATTAGAGATATATTTCTCATTCAATTAATTTAGTTCTCACTTCGCGGCAAGACAAAAATACATAAAAATTCAAAACATTTTCATTAAAAATTGTAAAATACAGAAAACCTAAAACGCTAAATATAATTAAAAATAGTCAATAAAACAATTTTTACAATTAAAATTAGAGTTTCTACGCAAAAACAAGCAATTCGGTCAGCGAGCAAGAAAGCAGCTTTTTCGGGACACAAATGTCCAAGTTTATTTTTGGTCCCACTCAGCAAAAAAACACTGAAGTTGGTGCACAAACTGACTGAATTCATTATTTTACTTGGAGTTTCAAATGTAAACAAATAGTGACCTCGTTAGGCTTAGAACCACTTAAACAACTTTTAAATTGTTGATAACGCTACACTCTTGCATGCAGATTAACTAAAGGCATAAAAACGCAGTGAAACATACACACAACATAATTCGATCACTTTTAGAGTAAAAAGTGTACGATTTACCAACATATAAGAATGAGATACTGAGCTCACCAAGCCGGATAACACAGTGGATGTGTGTTTATATATGTGTGTGTACGTTTAGCGCGGCTGATTGCAACCAAAAAGGCAGGTGCACTACTGCATGTTATAGCAGTTTCACATACAGAATTTCAACCTTCTGCAGCTAATCGTTGTTTTTGAGTTATGAGAGGTACATACATGCATACGTACGTACAGATGGGGGGTGTCACGAAAAAAATATCTTCTGAATCAATTTTAAATCCCTTTTGCAATCCGTTTTGGGAAAAAAATGCGCTTTATTGTCTCCATACGCGCATATTTCAAGTGAAAACATCGTTCAAAGGGGTTCGAGGGCGGTCAAAATGGACATTTTTGTTGAAGTATGATACCAGAAAACTTTTCGTGATTACGATATTTCTTTTACTTCGTACAAGGAAATAAAAATTACAACCAGAGCATGTACGAAAAAGATTACTGATAAAGGAAAAATAAAATAAAATAAAAAAAAAAGTTCAGGTAGTCCTCGATTTAAGAGGAGAGCCGTTTTAGTTGTCCCATCGTAAACTGATTTTGACGTAAGTAGAGGATATTCGTTTTTGATTTGTTTCTTAAATCTTTGATAATAGTTTTATAAGTTGGGTTATTATTTTACATAAAATGGAACTGTATAAAAGCCCACCAGAGGTCGAGCAGTAAAGTAGCTGAACACTGGTAGTTCGGTCCGAATTTCGAATCCCGTGAACGGGCTGGCTGCATGGGCTTTTTCGTGGTTTTCTCCATGTGCAACGTATATATGAACCAGTTTCCCTTTGAAAGTACTCCGCGAAGACATCCTTTGCCTTAGGCATATAGCCTTCCAGGAATTTAACCTCGGGAAATGAGACAAGTCGTTCTTAGCTAGCTGCCCAGCAAATAAATTAAGTTTTAGTTTAAAAGCTTTGAGATGGGCCCAGATATCTGATGTGGGCCCATCTCAAAGATATCGTCGATATCATCTCAAAGATATCGTCGATAAATTGTTTTTTCCCTTGCATCTTGACATTCAAATTGCTCATATGACAAAAAAGATCTGTGAAAAATGCAAAGTCCGAAAGCCAGTCTGTGTCTTCTAAGTTTCGCACTCCGCAGAACATCGTTTCTCATGGAAGAATGACACAATGTCATCTTTCAGCAGTCAGACTGGCTCCAAAACATATCCTGCACTAAGCCATCTTACTTTCGTGTAATACAGTACATCAGAGTATTCAGATTGCACGGACTGAAACTGCTAAATAAAAATCTCGAAATTGCCTGTGAGTAAGCCCACGAGATCAAATAGTATGTATAAGCTTTCACGACTGCATCAAGCACGGGTTTCATATTCAATGCAGATTTACACAGGACATCTTGATGTAAAACACAATGTAGAAAAACATTACTGTTTCCGGGGTAGTTTTGATTAAAGCTTACAAGAAATCCAGATTTTTTTCCTGTCATATTTGGTGCTCCATCAGTCGTAATATTGCATATATTTGTTATAGGCATTTTCAAAGTTAAAAGCCCTTCCTCAAATTCACGAAAAATATTACATACCGTTCTAATTCCTTTTGAAAAACGCATGCACGCCACTTCCTGTGTAATTTCAAAGTTCTCATCAATACCTCATATAAATAATACTAATTGAGCAGTATCATTTATATCAGTGCTTTCATCCAAAGCTAAGTCGTCGAAAACTCTTC